CCAGATGGGTCTCGAACCCGCGGGCTCAGGCAATCCACTCACCTCAGCCTCCCAAGGCGCGGGATTACAGGCTGAGCCACGGAGCCTGGCTCAAGTACTATTAATATCACTTTCCCAAATAATGTTTGCATATACTGGTAGCCTTATCCTAAAAGAAGATTGAGTGAGATTTCTTAGAACTGTGGCAGGACTGTTTATAGAGATATTAGGTTGAGCTCCATGAAATTGCCATTTTTGTAGGTAAAAAATAATGGATGAATATTAGTAGTTTCACATGGTTCAACCTATTATTTTGGGGTAAGGATTCAAAGGAGGGTGAGGGGACATTTGGGGGCCTCCCAAACTCCCACTGTGTGTAAAAGCCTGGCTCAAACCTCTCAGTATTAGGAGAGAAAAGGCTCCTTAGTTTCCTTGATGCAGTTCAGGTCTACTCTCATTGGAAGAATATTGGCAGAAATCCTGGGGTAAGACCAGTTTCTGGAGGGTCTGCCTCGAACCAGAGGGGTTGCACAGAGGAAATGAGCTTCACAAACTCAGCAGAGCCAGCGTTTAACATCACGATGTTGAGTCAGTTACACAACCTTGATGAAAAGGAAGGGCAGAAAAACAGGACGTTTGTAGCGTGAGGAAGGTTGTGTTATCCCTTTTCCTAAGCTAGGAAGAGGCAGGGGTGGAAGCCTTTGTTGGTGCCACTTGCCTTACTGCCTAATCAAGGCTCTGCAAACTCAAGGATCTTCAGCTGCCCAGGAGGCAATATAAATTAGTAGACTGAGCTTTCCTTTTTGACTCTGACCCCTGGAATCTGCCATCAATGTGAAGGACAGAATAGGTGAGGGCAAGGCCATGCTAGAGAGCACATGCCCCATCTGAAGGGGACAGGAACTATTCAGCTGCAGCTGGTTGTTGCCTTGTGGGAATGTGGGCCAGGGGTCACTAGATATTCCAATTTTCCAAAGGAGCCAGAGATACAGATTTTATGTGCATTCTCCCAATAATAATAAGTGTTGGTACCCAATTAGAATTCTTTTTTTTTTTTTTGAGTCAGAGTCTCATTCTGTCACCCAGACTGGAGTACAGTGGTCGCTCCTGGCCACTGCAGCCTCAACCCACTGGGCTCCGGCGATCCTTCCCCCTCAGCTTTGTGAGTAGCCAGAATTACAGGCACGCGCTACCATGCCTGGCTGATTTTTTTTAATTTATTGTAGAGATGAGGTCTCGCCAAGTTGCCCAGGCGGGTCTCGAACCCGTGGGCTCAGGCAATCCACTTACCTCAGCCTCCCAAAGTGCGGGATTACAGGCTGAGCCACCAAGCCTGGCCAATTTGAATTCTTAAAAACTGTTGTGTAGGCCATGCAATGCTTAAAAAGAGGAGCCAGCAGGCCACTGATTTGTAATCTCTAGCCTAGGGTTTAGATGTGCCAGGAGTGAGGCCCACACGCATTTCTTCATTATGCATTGGTAGCAACCTACTAATCATTAAAATGAATTAAACTGCTCCTGCCTTTGAGACACTCATGGATTAGTAGAGAAAATAGACAGCAATTATGATAAAGTATATAGATGTTGGAATATTTATGTATATTCTCTGTGTGTGTAGCTATAAAAGTGATGAATTCTTCCAGGGTTCATCTGGGAGGACATGATAGGAAGTGGGATTTGAGCCAGAATATGGAAAATTTGGTGCACTAAAGAGATTTGGAGCCCTTGAAACTCCCACTGTATGTACAAATGTTAGATTTGCATTTGCTGTATATATCATTTTCTTGATAGGTAGTTGGAAATACAGATATTCCTTAAGCCTGCTGGTGGGAGTCTTAGGGTTAATAACATGAGAGAACTCTCCCCTCTGCCCAAATTATAGGATACTTGTATGTTTTAGAGGCCTAGGAAACTCAGAAATAGCAGGGCATGGTGGCTCACGCCTGTAATCCCAGCACTTTAGGAGACAGGTGAGAGAATTGCCTGACTTGGGTTTGACATCAGCCTGGGCAACTTGGTGAGACCTCATCTCTATGATTAAAAAAAAAATTAGCCAGGTATGGTGACACACCTATTTGGTAGTGTCACCTATTCGGAAGGCTGAAGCAGAAGTATTTGCCCAAGGCCAGCAGACCAAAGTTGCATTGGCAGTGAGCAGGCCACTGCACTCAAGCCTGGGCAACAGAGTGAAACTGTGACTCGAAACAAAACAAAACAAACCTTAGAAGTCATGTAGCTGGATGCCCCTATTTTTGGGTGAGGAAACTGAAAGGGAAATCACAGAACCCCTTGGAGGCAGAGCTTGGACTGACACCCATACCTCTTTACCACTGTGCTTCCTCCTCTCCTGGGTATCTCTGAGGGTCAGGCTTAGGCTGGCCCCTTCTGCCCATTGACCTGTTTTGGCCTAGCTCCTGGTGGGGGAGGAAAGTTTGCTATCATGTGGCATCAGGTTCTTTCTTCTTTCTCTTTTGGATCCCTTGCTTGAAATGCGTGTTATCCCTTTTCTTTGTCACAGAGTTGGACTACTTATGTTCAAATTCCTCATCAGCCACATGCCAGCCGTGTGACTTGGCACAAATTGCTTAGCCTTTCTAAGCCTCAGTTTCCTCTTCTCTTTGTAAGAGTTAATAGGTGAATTATATACCTAGGTGAAGTGTAATGGGAATGCCCTGTAAAATTTTAAGATTCTTGGGAAGACAGAATGACATAAAGCACTTAACAAAGCACGGACCTATCGAAGCACTGAGCAAGTATTAGCTATGATTATGATGGTTCACACAGTTCACAGACCCTAAAGCTGTGTTATGTGCCCTTCTTTTGTTTTCCCATACTATCCTGTTAAGTCTCTATTATTTTAGTACATACCACGTTGTATTGTAATTGTTTATGTCTATCTCCCCTGCTGGACTAAGAGCACCTTTAAGGATTCATTCAACAAATGTTTATTAGTCACTGTGCCAGGCCCTAGGAATACAGTGATAAACCAGGAGCTCTTAGTTTATTGCAGAGTTCCGAAAGGCATGCGAAAGTGAGCTTGTCTCATGGTCAACTAAATCTGGAAAATGATGCTCACCATAGCCCCTCTTAGAGATTAGACTCCATCTTAGTCTTTTAAAGTTTCTGAGGAGTCTTGTAGTAAAGCAACCAATTTACTTTGTGTAGCCCAGCTTTGTCAGACTCAGCAAATGTTTGCTGAATAAATTTGAGACATCTAGACAGTCCTTTTAATTTCACTGTGTGCTTTGGTCCCCAGCTCAAAGTGGCACAGCGATGCTTAGAAACCTTGCTAGGAGCAAACAGCCTGTGGCTGCTTAGGGACCTGTTGCTCACTGTCTGGTGCCCTCATGGAGACAGGAGGCCCTGGGCTGAACAACATGAAGCCTCAGTCACTGCAGCTGGTGCTGGAGGAGCAAGTGCTGGCATTACAGCAGCAGATGGCAGAGAATCAGGCAGCCTCCTGGAGGAAGCTGAAGAACTCCCAGGAGGCCCAGCAGAGGCAAGCAGCCCTCGTGAGGAAGCTGCAGGCCAAGGTAAGGCAGCTGCCTTTTTGGGTGGGGGTGGCATGGGGTGGGAGGGATGGAGAGAATAACCTCTGGAGCTGGGGCTGAGGTGAGATAAGGGTTGAAGGAGGTAGAGCTGTGTGGTGGAAGTGGCCTAGGCCTCGCTTTGTGATAACAACCATCTAGATTTCAAATATAGTTTTTCCTTTGTTGCTCACAACTACTCTGTCAGGTATGTATTATATCTTTTTTGAGTTGGGTTTCACTCTGTCACCCAGGCAGGAGTGCAGTAGTATGCTCATGGCCACCACAACTGCTGTGTCCTGGGCTCAGGTGATCCTTCCGTCTCAGCCTTACAAGTAGCTGGAATCACAGGCACATGCCACCACACTCGGCTAATTAACAAGGTCTTACCAAGTTACCCAGGCTAGTCTAGAACCCCTGGGCTCAGGCAGTCGTATCACCTCAGCCTCCCAAAGTGCTCGAATTATAGGCTTGAGCCACCATGCCTGGCATATTATATCCTTTTTCAAGATGATGTTCATGAGGGGTTAAATTAGTTGTTCAGATTTGCTCATGTAGTCTAGAGCTGACCGTGGGCATTGTAGGTCCAAAGCCCATGATCTTACCTTTCTACTACATGAGGAATATGGAAAGTATTAAGTGCCCAAATAGAAACAATAAGATGTTACAGCTTTACATCACTGTCACCATCCAGTTTTCCTTTTCAAAGCAGGTTTGCCCAGGATCCTCAGGGGCCTTTGGTTTGGGCTTTTGTACCAGCTGTGCCCATTACCCAGGGGCTGCTTTGTTTGCCTCAGGTGTTGCAGTACCGGAGCTGGTGCCAAGAGCTGGAGAAGCAGCTGGAAGCCACTGGAGTGAGTGAGGCTGAGTTCCATGCTCCCCCCCAGCCCTCAATGAATATACTTGTTAGGTTTCAGTTGCTGACTGACTGAGGCCGGGGTGTGAAAAGGGGTGCTTAGTAGAAGTCCTTCTTTCTTCAGCCCCTAAGAGCTTTATCACACTGATATCTCCTTGGACCTAGTGGCCTGTCCGATTTCAACCCTTGGTTCTCTAAGGATGAAATGTAGCTTCAGGAAACTTAGTTGGATTGGAAGGTATGGAATTAGAGAGAAGCGTGTATTTTTCCTCCAGCAGATGTCAGTGTTTATCTGTCTTAGGTGTGTGCCTTTGTATGCCTAAAGCATGTTTGTGACAGAGTAGGGATATATTTTGTGCTGTTGTCTGGGCAGGAATGGCTTTGAAAAATCCATTTGTCTTTGTTCCAGTTTCCTCTCAGCACCTTCTCACATTCACTTCAGAAAATTCCTCTCGAAAGAAAGAACCAAAACATGAATTCCTTCTGTATAGGTTAGGCACCATTAGGCATTGTCATATAGAGATGATCCCTGACTTAGGATGATTGTGATTTTTTGACTTTAGGATGGTACAAAGCCATATGTGTTCAGTATGCTCCTTGGGTTATGATGGGGTTATGTCTGGATAACTCATCATTAAGCTGAAGGTATTACAATTTGAAAACACACTTTGAATATACAATATATTCGACTTACAATGGATTTATCCCCTCATAAGTAGGGGAACATCTGTGATTGTGCCACTTAATCTACAAAGTAACTTTCTGAGGGGAATGATATCACCATTTTGCAGCTGAAGACACTGTAGCTCCAAGAATTTAAGTGACTACCCAAGGTCCAAAATTAGTGTAGTGTAAGTCAAGGCCATTAGTGAAAGATATATCTTATTCTTCTTAGGTTGAAGATTATTTTCACTACCAAAAGCCATCTTTCATGACAGGTATATAGAGGGATGCTGGATTGAGAAAAGAAGCATTTGCTAGTAAATGGGAGAAAGAGTGAAAAGAAAGTGGACTGCTATAGAAGGGGACATCAGGTAACTGGTCTGGGTGATGTTATCTTTAGAGGTAAGTAAGGCTTGTCTCTGTCTGGTGTAGGGACCAATCCCTCAGAGGCGGGAAAGTATGGAGGAGCCAAATCTGGAACAGCTGCTAATCCGATTGGAGGAGGAACAACAGAGGTAATGGACCCCAAATTCTCTGACCTGTGTGATTGGCTGATGGAAAATCTCTTTCCTGAGGGCTAACATGGATTAGAGCTGTGGACTTCAGCCATAGGCCCCTGATTCCCGGCAATGGAAAATTCCAGTGATTGTCACTAAACTCCCAAGAGGTCCAAGGGTTAGACGAGACCTGTGTTTTGCACTTGTTTTTACCTCTCCCCTGTGCAGGTGTGAGAGTCTAGCAGAGGTGAACACCCAACTTCGACTGCACATGGAAAAAGCTGATGTGGCAAATAAAGCCCTTCGGGAAGATGTGGAAAAGTTGACCGTGGACTGGAGCCAGGCCCGGGATGAGCTAATGAGGAAGGAGAGCCAGTGGCGGATGGAGCAGGAGGTGAGAAGAACGATGGCTGGAACTGAGAAGAGGGCTGTGCACTCTGGCTATTGCCCTGGCCAGTGCTGGAAGGAGTTAACTTAAGGACTTGGATGGAAACGAACTATCTCTTTTAAAGTCTGACCCTTCTTACCTGCCCATGCTGGCAGCTTCACCCTACTTGGGCCTTCGGGGTAGTTTTGCTGGCAGGACTCGGTTTTGCTGGCAGGTAGCATGATACTCAAAGCAACTCTGTTCCTGCAAAAGTGACTAGCTTAGGTTTTAGATGGATGTGAAAGTTTACAGACTTCCTTGGTCTGGAGGTCTTGCATATCTAGATGCTAAGGAGCTAGATGTTGAAACTGAGTGGGGAAGAACGATCAGTTATGAGCCCTAGGGAACTGTTAACTCCCAGCTAAAGGAAACAAATATTTCCTGAGCCTTTGCACTAGGTGCTTTACAAATACTATATCATTTACTTCTCCTTATAAGCATATGGCAACAGCTCTCATTTGTTGAACAGCTACTGTGTATCCTTTCTAATCTAGCCTAGAGGAAGGCCGTATACCATTCTAGGGCTTCTGACGTCTTGAATCCCACTGCCAACTTCATTAAGCCTTTCAACATAACCTGGGTAGATGCCCATTCATAAGTTATCTCCTGTAAGTCCTTCTTTCCTTTTTCTCAGTAGTCAGGAGGAATTCAAGACTCTTATGTTGGTAAGAGATAGTCCTCTGCCCCTTGGTATGACCTGGGTTTCTGAACACTCAGTTCTTCAAGGGTTACCTGAAAGGAGAGCATGGTCGGCTTCTCCGTCTATGGCGAGAGGTAGTGACCTTCCGGCGCCACTTCCTGGAAATGAAGTCAGCTACTGACAGGTCAGTGTGGGGATAAAAAGGGAGGAGTTTTGCCCCTACCAATTCTAGACTTATGACAGTGGGCTGCTGGAGATGGGGGAATCAGGTGTGGAGGTAGGATGGGGGGGAGGTTGATGTTGTTGGAGTCAGATGATATTTTTCTCAGATCTGCTCCTCGGGCTTAATTGGACCTGATCTCCCTGCTCCCTTACCTGGTCCATGTAGGCATCTGTTCTTTTCCTTACTTTTACTCAGAGATCTGACGGAGTTAAAGGCTGAGCATATGAAGCTTTCTGGCTCCCTGTTGACCTGTTGTCTGCGCTTGACTGTGGGAGCACAGTCTCGGGAATCCGATGGATCTGAGAGAATAGCTGGGAGGGATCCAACCCAGCTGCTGCTGCTACTAGCCAAGACCCAGGAGCTGGAGAAGGAAATCAGTGAGAGGAGCCAGGAGTTAATACAGCTGAAGAGTCAAGGGGACCTGGAGAAGGCTGAACTTCAGGACCGGTGAGCTAGCCTGGGGTCCCAGAAGGGGTTCACTGTGGAAAAGCTGACTCCCTTAGAGGGCTAGGGATAGAGCATTCTTACCATGAGAGGGGAACGAGGTACGCCGGAGGGAGTCTAGTTTGAAACCTGATGCCACAGCTGGGGCTTGTCACTGACTCTGCCCTTTGACTGTCTCACCTCAGTTCCTCTCCGTTGATTTATAGAGCTAGCTATGTCTCTCCTCTGTCCACTCCAAACTCCTTGCCATTCCCAGGACAACCAAGCTCTTCCATGCCTCTCTGCCTTTGTACATGCTGACCTTACCCTGGAATGCCTTCCTCCCTTCTCTCTCTGCCTTATCCTTTAAGATATAGTTTAAATGTCAACTCTTCTATGAAGCCTTTTCTGACCTCAGTAACCTACTAAGTTACTATGCCCCTGTGGTCTTTTGATTTGCTTGTTATAACATTGATCTCATTGATTATTTAGTTTACTTTTTTTGGTTAGACTTTTAATTATCTGATTGTAATGAAATAGGTTTTTTGAAAATGATGATAAGAAGGGCAGGGACTTGGCCGGACTCGGTGGCTCAGCCTGTAATCCCAGCGCTTTGGGAGGCCAAGGTGAGTGGATTGCCTGAGCCCGCAGGTTCGAGACCCGCCTGGGCAACTTGGCAAGACCTCATCTCTACAATAAATAAATAAAAAATTATCTGGGCGTGGTAGCACATGCCTGTAGTTCCAGCTACTTGGAAGGCTGAGGTGGAAGGATCACCGGAACCCAGCAGGTCAAGGCTGCAGTGGCCGGGAGTGGCCACTGCATTCCAGTCTGGTTGACAGAGTAAGACTCCAACTCAAAAAAAAAAAAAGGGGCAGGAACATGAGCAGAGTGCCCCGCTGAATCTCAGGGCAAAATTCAGTTTATGCCCCATGATTAGAATTGTGGCTTCACCTGTTGGTGGTGTATACATAAATTTTAGGACTGTTTTGTTTTGTTTTTGCTTTTGGAGGCACTGAGAAGCACAAAGACAGAGATCATGTCTTAGTAAGTTTTGTGTCTCTAATGCTTTGCACTCCACCTACCATGTAGTAGACACTCAATAAATGTTTGTTGAATGATACAATAGTTAAATAAATGACCATACAGTAAGGTGAATCTCTCAGAGACAGTAGAGAATAGTATTATGAAGACTTTCAAAACAACTTTTTAACTCCTAGATGATACTCATTCAAGAAATATTTATTTAGCCACCCCTACAAACCAGACAGTCAGCTCCAAGTACGGCACAAAGTGATAAAGATGTATGGAAATAATTCAGACTTTGAGATGAATATCAAGAAAGTTGACTATAATCGTCCCCAAATTGCCCCTCCTTTTTCCCTACCAGAATCAGAACCTTGGGCTGGAGGGACCTTGGGACTATCCCATGTGGCAATTCTGATGTTCTTATTGACTTCAGGGTGCTTGACTTCAAGATCAAGCAAGGCCTGGAGGGGCTGGGCCAGGGCTTTCCTTCAGCTCTTGGGTCCCCAAACACGTGTTCCGGCCTTGAGATGTGGTAAATCCCTGCATGTGTCTGAGTGGTTTTTTGCTTCCCCTGCTCCTCTCCCCCTAGTTCAAGGCTATAGCATCATGTGATATTCAGGGAGTATGGAGGGGCTGAGGGTGCCACGAAATTCTGGGGAGGCTGCAGTTGGGAGTGTCTGTTGGGGATGGGGTGTGCTTCATAGTAGCTCTGTCTAGATCCATGAGCTGTTCAGGTGACAATGCTATGCTCTTCTCTTTAGAGTAACCGAGCTCTCTGCTCTACTGACCCAGTCTCAGAAGCAAAATGAAGATTATGAAAAGATGGTAAAGGCTCTGAGAGAGACAGTGGAGATCCTGGTACATGATCCTTTGTTCTGGAAAGGAGTTGGGAGTGGGCTAATCATTTTTTTTTTTTTGAGTGCGAGTCTCACTCTGTTGCCCAGGCTGGAGTGCAGTGGCACACTCATGGCCACCACAGCCTCGACCTCCTGGGCTCAGGCAATCCTTCCACCTCAGCCTTCCAAGGAGCTGGAACTACAGGCGCACACCACCACACCCAGCTATATTTTTTTTAATTATAGAGACAAGTTCTCACTAAGTTGTCCAGACTAGTCTCGAACCCCTGGGCTCAGGCAATCTCTCACCTCTGCCTCCCAAAGTGCCTGGGATTGCAAGTGTGAACCACCATGCCCAGCTTGACTTATAGTTTCCTTGTGTTTTATGGACAGAGAGTGCAGGATACCAGTTAAAAATTAATTAACCTATTCATTCAATAAATATTATTAACTGTCTACTATCCCTATGTATTCCTGGAGAAATTACAATGACATATGTATGCAGTGTGCCCTTGTCAGAGAGAGGTGGCACATAAGAGGCACACTGGCAAATTGGTGAGTTGCCAGGAAGATATGTGGAGAGATTCAAAACCTAGTCATATGGGAAACAACTGAGGAGTATGGCAATGTTTAACATGGAGAAGAAAGGCTGAGCAAATGAAGCTTTCTGGCTCCCTGTTGACCTGTTGTCTGCCCACGAAGACATGATGGCTGCCTTCACATATCTGAAGGACTGACACTAGGGAAAAGAGCTGACTTGTTTAATGTTTTCCAGGACAAAACCAATGTTAATGGCTAGAAGTTTGCCACTCCAAGGGTTCAGGCACACTTATTCTTCCTCCATGCCACTGTACAACTATAGGTTTTAGCACACATTAGAGCTATTCAGTAGGTGAGCACTCTGTCTTGTGAAGGCGTGAGGAAGAATATCATCAAAGGAATTCTCTAAGATTGGATATGAGACTCTCTGGCTTGATTCCATATTTCCCATCATCTGTATGACTTTTCAGATCTCTGATTTTAGGCTGCTTCTGAATTCCTCTCCATGTGTACACTCCTAGACTTCTTATCCAAGCTGGGATCAACTGGAAACCTGACTTGTTTGTGCCTTTTTTATTCCTTTTTGTCAGAAATTTGCCAATTAAGATATCCATAGGGCCCAGATAATGTAAATGAGCGGAGTGGGTTCCGTTGTAAGAATTCTGGTTTTCTAGTGCTGTCATATTTGGTTTTCAGTACTGCTAGGGACAGTTGAGCTCAGTATTAAGGAAACCTAAGAACTGTAGGACCCTGAAGAATAATACCTCATCTAAAGGAGGCATCCACCATTCAACTTCAGTCAGTTGTTGCCTTGTAGGAATGAGGGTTAGGTGTGGCCCGTTTGTTAACTTTTTAAGAGAAGCCAAGAATTGATTTTATGTATGTATGTATTTATTTATTTATTGAATTGGATTCTCACTCTGTCGCCCAGACTGGAGTGCAGTGGCACACTCCCGGCCACCGCAGCCTCGACCTGCTAAGCCCTAGCAATTCTTCTGCCTCAGCCTTCCAAGTAGCCGGAACTACAGGCACGACTACCATGCCCAGCTAGTTTTTGATTTATTGTAGAAATGAGGTCTCACCAAGTGGCCCGGGTGGGTCTCGAACCCGTGGGCTCAGGCAGTTCACTCGCCTCGGCCTCCCAAAGTGCTGGGATTATAGGCTGAGCCACCAAGCCCGGCCAGGAATTGATGTTTTAATGCAAAACTTCTCAATTTACAAATAGCTGAAGGTCTATGTCTTCAGGCCTTCCCTAACACAAAAATAATGGGAAAGAAGAGAAGAAATCTTGAGTCTTCAAGATTATGTCTAGCTTTGGGGCTAGAGGCTTCTCTACTTTAGCCTTCAGTCTCAAGAGTTGATTTATGGGTCAGAGACAACAGCCTTCTTATCTAATAGCAGTCACATTTATTGAAATTTGCCTTGTGCTGGGTACAATGTACGGTAATTTACATGGATTTTTTTCATTAAGCCTTAAAACAAGTAGTTGCTATAAATTATTTCTATTTTAAAGAAAAGGAAGCTCGAAGAAGCAGTTATTTAAGGGTCACCAAGTAGTCAGTGAGAGAGCAAGAATTCTGATCTAGGAAGTCTAATTTGGAACTCATAATTTACTTAATCTAAACTTTTAGTCACCATGTCACATTGCTTTCAGACTCTTTGGATAACAGTTAGCATTCATGTGTGATCAGGGAAAAAGTAGGGCTGACAGGATAGATCGGAAAAGGCTTTAGTTGATTTGGGGCTTGGAATAATAAATTCTCTTTTGAGAATTTGGCTCTGAGACTCTATTTTGTTCCCTGTTCAGGAGGCAAATCATGTAGAAGTAATGGAACATGAGGCGTCTCTCAGTAGGAATGCCCAGGAGAAGAAGTTGTCATTACAGCAGGTGATCAAGGATATAACTCAGGTAATGGTAAGCCTCCTGCTTATGGTAACCAGGTTCTGATTCACTCCTTTCTCCAGGCTTTCATGGCCTCTCAGTCTTGCCTGGTTTTTCCATCTCTGAGGTATTTGGGCCTAGGGTCTTGTGGGGATGAATTCTCTGAATATATTTGAAGACTGGAACCCCAAGCTAGCTAAGCATTCATGTCTTAGCACTGCCTGGTGGGATAGGCCCTTTTCTGTTGCCAGCTGTGGTTCTTAGGACAAAGACTGGATTCTGGTCTTAAACTGCCTCAACTGCTGCTGCTTCTTTCATTTCTTCATTTAGCTCAGAGTGCTCTAGAGTTGCTAGTCCTAGAATTGGGTGACCAAAGGTGGAGAATTGAAGGCACTGGCCTTTTTTGCTCTCAGGTATGCTTCTCCCACGTGCCAGAGAGAAGATCTGAGAAAGAAAGCATCAGGTTTGCCCAGGCTATAGTATAAATCCTCCACATGGACTCTAGGTCTTGGTCAGTAGAGTGGTGACCCTGCTGTGTTGTGTTTCAGGCCATGATGGAAGAAGGGGGCAATGTTGCCCAAGGCTCTGGTCATGAGAGCTCTTTGGAACTGGACTCTAGTGGCTTCTCCCAGTTTGATTCCCAGGATCTGGACAAGGCTGTTACCCTGGTGCATTCAGTGCTAACTCAGAGACGCCAGGCTGTAAAGGTGAGAACCCCCTGAGAAGCATTCCTTCTCAGACACAGGGGTGTGTTTCTAAACTGCTTTGTACTTCTGGTACCTCCCTAGCCTGGACTGCCCATTTCACTTTGCTGACTAGTCATGAGGTGTTTTGTCAACATCCCAAAGTGCGCATTCAAATCTCCCTGTGTCTGCCCAGTTGTGCTTGTGGGTGACAGGCACATTCTCCATGCCAGTGGCACACTTCATTTTGCATGCAGTGTTTGCACAGAACTATGCAAATGTTGGGAACGAAAGCCCTGGGACAGTATGGGTAAGTGTTCCCCAACTCTGAGGGTCCCAGGCACACTGACCATCCCCTCGTGCCACAGTACATTTGGAGATGATGAACTCCAAGATTCTGGAGCCATAAAGGCCCAGTGACCCATGATCTTCGGTCTTCTTGAGTGGTCACATCTCTATCTCTGCTCACCCTTGTGGCACTAGTCCCTGGCTCTCTCGACCAGCCCCACTCTCGGCTTCTGACGTTCCCCCTCTGTCCTTGCCCTCTTGCTCTTCATCTGGTTTCTGTTTTTCTCTCTCTGTAGGACCTAAGGCAGCAGCTTTCAGGCTGCCAAGAGGCTGTGAGCATATTGCAAAAACAGCACGATCAGTGGGAGGAAGAGGGCAAAGCCTTGAGACAGCGGCTGCAAAAGCTCACTGGGGAGCGGGACACTCTGGCGGGGCAGACTGTGGACCTCCAGGGAGAGGTGGACTCTCTCAGCAAGTGAGCAAACAGGCTATTCATCCCACCCTTTCACCCGGTCTTAGTCCTCATCCAGCCATCTACCCACTCTCTTCATGCTTTTGGTTGACTGATGCTGCTGTCCCTGAGACCCATGACTGCTCAGGGCTGCTTTGTGTTCTGTGTATTTCTGCAGAACAAGCTTTTGGATTTTGGGTCTTTGTGATTATTTAAAAAACAGTTTCCCACCCAAAAGGATAGATGAAATGTTGACCCTGTGATATCTGCGACCAGAAAGGACTTTAGATCCCCTGGTCTCTGCTCCTCTCTGATCATTTTCTTCCAGGGAGCGAGAGCTCCTGCAGAAGGCCAGGGAAGAGCTGCAGCAGCAGCTGGAGGTACTGGAGCAGGAAGCATGGCGCCTGCGCAGGGCAAACATGGAACTTCAGCTACATGGCGACTCTGTTCAGGGGGAGAAGGAGGAGCAGCAGGAGGAGCTGCACCTGGCTGTCCGTGAAAGAGAGCGCCTGTAAGTATGACCAGTCTCCTCCTGCTGGGGCCTGGCCCTTCTTCAGTTCCACACCCTCTCCACCCAGTCCCCTCCCTTAGAAAGTGGAGTGCACGGAAGTTAGCATGCAGTGGGTTCAGATTACCTTACTGCTTTTTTCTTTGCAGAAAGACGAATACAGAAACTTCATCCAGACTTTGTTAAGCACTCATACAAGATAAGGCACTGTAGGGGATGCAGAAATGAATATGACATGAGCCCTGATCTAAAGGAGCTTGCAGTCTAATGAAGAAGACAGACACACAACTAACTGTTACATGAGGCCAGATTAATTGTGAAATAAACAGAACTTCAAGCAAGGTCCTTTGGGAACACAGGAGTGACAGTTAATTGTTGAGGAGCAAGGAAAGCTTTATGGAGAAGGGAGAGACTTTGAGCTGAGCTTTATCATATTCCGATTGCTAGAGAGCAGGAGAACAGCTAAAGGAACAGATTCAAAAAGAAAAGGAGGCAGGGAGGCTCATGGCATGCTCAGCAAAGGCTGGCTGGGGTGAGACTCCCACAGGAATGTGATGGGAAATGAGCTAGTCGGTCAAGAAAGGGAAATACAGAGTAAATGGACCCAGGTAATCTGTAAATTCCTCCATATGATGTCATAGAAAAAGCAAAGAACTGGGTAGAAACTTGGCTTGAATCATGGCTCTGCCACCTGGACAGATTATTTGTAAAATGGAGATGATAATATTTACCTTGAAGGCTTGGGAAGATTGGAGCAATGTTTTGGAAAATGCTAACACAGAGCCTGGCATTCAGTAGGTCTTGAATAATAGGGAGCAGGGATGTATCATTTTTTATCTTTGGTGTATTCCCCTCCTCGCTTGTGCCCTACATCCTTGCACCTAGAAGGCATGAGTAGTGGAAGCTTGAAGGACTACCATGAGGGTCATGACTAAGGGGGAAGGCAGACAATTCACAGATAAATATATGTTTTAAAATTTAATGTATCTGACTTGATAACACAGTTTGGTTTCAAAAGTCAAAACTGTTTAAAAAGATAGACATTGGGAAATCTCACTCCCATTTGTGCTTTCTCCATCCCATTTCCCTTCCCCCCAAGATAACCATTTTAATTGATTTCTTGTTTATCTTGCCAGTGCTACTTCATGCAAATATAAGCACATACTCTTTCTTCCCCCCATTTTCTTGCATAAAACATTGTGTATATATGTATTGTTCTACACTTTGCTTTTTTTTTACCTGATGTATCTTAGCAGTCTTTCATTACCAGTTTTTAGAGACCTTCTTCACTCTTTTGCCTAGCAAAGGTCATTATGTTCCTGTTACCTTTTGGGTTGTGACCAATCCCTAAGACTTCCTCTAGACCCCTGTCCTTCCCATCTTAGTCAGGAGACGCTGGTGGGCCTGGAAGCCAAACAGTCAGAATCACTCAATGAACTGATCACTCTTCGGGAAGCCCTGGAATCAAGTCGCCTGGAAGGGGAGTTACTGAGGCAAGAGCAAACGGAAGTGACCGCAGCGCTGGCCAGGGTGCGTGGCCTCCTCTCCTCACTTACTGGGTGGGCGGCTTAGAGAGGTGTGTTTTTCCAGGAAAGGACCATACAGCCAGCCTCATTCTTCATCCTTCAAGCCTGACCCCTCATATTTCTGTCCTCAATCACTAGCCTGCTTTGGGTTCTCTCCCTTCTATATACCCTCTATATTAGAATTAGAATGACTCTTCTGAAGTTTAAATCTGGTTATGTTAGTCTCTTAAAACCATTCAGTGGCTTTCTGGCTCTGTGGTGCCTCATTCAAAGCTCCTTATCATCTGCCTGCAACTGTTTCTAGCCTCCCCTTCCACTCTAGAACCTGGTCCTAACTCCTTGTATCCTTTGTTCCTGCTACATAGCATCAATTGCATTCTCAATTGTACCATGTTCTTTCTTGACTCTAATGCTTTGTGTCTACTGTTCCCTTTTCCTTATTTCCTTCCCCTTTAACCACAAACCAATATCTCTAAATACCCAGCTTAGTTGTCAACTCCTCTACCAAGCATTTTTGACTCTTCCAAACTGTATTAATGCCTTCTTTGACTTCCCAAAGCACTTTGTGCTTACATTTTCTATGGTGTCATTACAATTTTAGTTGTTTATACATTCTTACATCTGTACCTCTATACTGTGAGCTCTTGTCTTACTCCTCAGTGAATGAATGAATGAAAGGAAAACTGTAAAGGAGAGAATGAAACGTTAACTGATCTCTGTACAAAAGGAGAAGCAGGTGTTAGGAATGTGAACTGTTTGCTGTTGCAGGAAGACTGGGAACAGGAAACTCTTTAACCCTCTTCATTTTTAGGCAGAACAGTCCATTGCAGAGCTGTCAAGTTCTGAAAACAGCCTGAAGGCAGAAGTAGCTGATCTTCGGGCTGCAGCTGTCAAGCTCAGTGCCTTAAATGAGGCTTTAGTCTTAGATAAAGTTGGGCTGAACCAGCAGCTTCTCCAGGTGAGCAAAGATTTCTCTGGTCCCCAGGAAAGGGCTGGACCCTGACTGAGGACAACACAGATCAGCCCCCAGATGTAGTTCTGAAATGTGCAAAAGAGATCAAATACTGTGAGGTTTGGGCTTAGCCATTAGAAACATTCCCTTCCCACATCAATAGCAGAACTGCCTTTGGGCTTTATGGTGAATCACCAGGGCTGGAAAGGGACCTGGGTCCCTGGAAGGAAGACAAGGTGAGATAATAGCAACCAGCAGAAAATGATCTGCTGAGGAGCCTGAGTCCTAAAGAATCTTCTCTATGGGTTACAAATCTAGCCTATAATTTTAGCAAGGGAACCTCCTTACAACCCCTGTTCCCTTGAGCCCAGAAATGTTCTGTGTTCCATTATTCTGAATTCTTTGAGGGCAAGATTTTGCCTTTTTTGTATCTCCATCCCCAGCATCCACCACATCTAGTACCTAGAATATAGACAAGAGGTTAAGTGAATGGATTTCCTTTCTCTCTTTTTTTTTTTTTGAGTTGGAGTCTCACTCTGTCGCCCAGACTGGAGTGCAGTGGCCGCTCCCGGCCACCGCAGCCTCGACCCGCTGGGCTCCGGCAGTCCTTCCGCCTCAGCCTTCCAAGTAGCTGGAACTACAGGCGCGCGCTACCACGCCCGGCTAATTTTTTTTTTTTTTGTTTATTGTAGAGATGAGGTCTCGCCAAGTTGCCTAGGCGGGTCTCGAACCCGCGGGCTCAGGCAATCCACTCACCTCAGCCTCCCAAAGGCACAGGATTACAGACTGAGTCACCGAGCCCAGCTTCCTTTCTCTTTTATAACACTCCTGTGTTCATCTTTGGAGAATAGTTTAATGTCTAACTGCTGTCTCAGCACTTGATCTTTAAACTGTAATATTTGTCTTTAATGCCCTGTACCTCCTGTCTTTTCTGGCCAGTAGTTAGAGCAGGAGAACCAGTCTGTGTGCAGCAGAATGGAGGCAGCAGAGCAGGCGAGAAACGCTTTGCAGGTGGACCTGGCAGAAGCAGAGAGGAGCAGGGAAGCCCTGTGGGAAAAGAAAACCCACCTGGAAGCTCAGCTGCAGAAAGCAGAGGAGACTAGGGCTGAGCTGCAGGCAGATCTCAGAGGCATCCAAGAAGAGAAGGAAGAAATTCAAGATAAACTAAATGAGGTGAGAAGACAAAACTGACACAACACCATAATGTTAAGATGTAATACATGCTTATTGTAAAAAATTAAAACACTACAGAAATGATGTGGAAAGTGAAAAGGCCTTACTTCCTAGAAATGACCAGTGTTACTAGTTTGCAGTATATCTTCCAATTAAAAAAAAAAATCCAACCAAAAGGAGGCCCAAACTTTACCTGTACAATGACCACTTGTATACCTAATCCTGAATTATACTCCACATCTTTAAAATAAAAAATAAAAATAAAAATATTAATTAATTAAAAGCTCCCTGAAGGCAAAGCTGTGTCTTTATTCCTTCAGCTTTCAGTACAATGCCTAAAACATAACAGGCTGAGTAAATTTTTTTCCTGAACCAATGAATGACCTGGCTCAAAGGTCATCTTTGTCCTCTACCAAATCTCTCTCTCATTGCCCTAATAATTATACATATTCTTCCTTCTCAGAGCCCCTTTCTCAGGACACTAATCACTTTCTTTCGTTATTATGTATGTCTTCTCAAAACTGAAAGCTCCTTAGGGGCAGATATTCTGGTGTACTTAGCCTAGGGTCTTGCTCATAGGAGAGCTTTCTTCCTGGGCTAGGGACTCTATGTGTTGATCAGAGAAATAGAAAAATGCCACTCAGTATTGAATAAGCAATGCTCTGGGCTCACAGTGCTGGGTCCAGAATCTATGAAGTGCCAATGGCCCTAACCTGCATGTAGCAGCCCCAGGGGGAATCCTGCCCCTGCCTTGTATCTCATCAATTTCTTCTCTTCAGTCATATCACCAGCAGGAGGCAGCCACAGCTCAGCTGGAGCAGCTGCATCAGGAAGGAAAAAGACAAGAAGAAGTGCTTTCCAGGGCGATCCAGGAGAAGGAGGCCCTAGTACGAGAGAGGGCAGCTCTAGAGGTACGGCTGCTGGCTGTGGAGCGGGACCGGCAGGACCTCACTGTGCAGCTACAGGACCTGAGGTAGGGCCCAGACTCTGTTCAGCTAAGCACAGAGAGAGCTCTGCAAAGCAAGAAGTGGTCAGGATAAGCTCCCAGCCCTAAGTATGTGGGTTCTAAATGAGTTCTGAATTTATAATTGTTCCCTAACTTCTCTCCCTGTAGCTAGTATTTAGAACCCAGCTCCTCTTGAGGAAGGGTAGGGGGCTTGCTGGGTAGGAACTCTTTCTGATTCCCGAACCTCACAGCTCAGCTAAGGAGTTACTGGAGAACAATCTGTTTGAGGCCCAGCAACAAAATTCTGTGATTGAGGTCACTAAGGCGCAGCTGGAGGTCCAGATTCAAACTGTCACTCAAGCCAAGGAAGTAATCCAAGGTGAGAACCCACCTGGGATGTGGTACACTCCTTTGCATGGGGATGTTGCAAGCTGGAAAACAGTGGGAGGCTATAGAAGTCTTTTTTCAGCCAGGCTCAGTGCCATGAGATGAAAGTTGCTAATGAAATGGGGGGAGATGGAGAATATTATTAGTAAAAGGAGCTGAGAAGAGACCCAGAAGTCTGATCGTGTCCCTGGCCTGTTAGGGGAAGTGAGGTGCCTGAAGCTGGAACTGGACACTGAACGGAGCCAGGCAGAGCAGGAGCGGCATAGAGCAGCCAGACAGCTGGCCCGGGCTGAGCAAGAGGGGCAGACTACCCTGGAGCAGCAGAAAATGGTACACCAGGAAGAGGTGAACCGGCTCCAGGAAAAATGGGTAGGTAGTGGATGTGGCTGGGGATAGAAGAGGCCGACATGGCCTCCCTTCCATGAGTGAGCTACCTTCTAACGCTTGATCTAGAAATTGCTGCTTATAAGAGTGAAATTTGGGGCAACCTTCTTGGGTCCTCTCCCACTGTGGGAGCTTTTCTGTTCTCTCAATGAATCCTGCTGTCTCAAAAAAAAAAAAGAGTGAAATTTAACACCAAAGTGTAAAACCCAGCTTCTAGCTATTAAATAAGTTAATGTATGAAAAACACTAAGAGTTGTTCCTGGCATATAGTGAGCTCTGTTTTTGTGTTAGCCATTATTATTGTTGTTATGTTGGTATATATAGAGAATTCAGAGTGAACCCTGGAATTTAGGATTATTAAAATGACCTCAGGGTATAAATGGGGCCAAGAAATACCTTGGATGCATTCTTGTCCAATTTACAATTGTATTTCTTTTGTTTTTATTTATATAATTTAGTCCATTTGCTTTTATTGTGATTCTAGATGTGTTTGGATTTATTTCTAGCTGTTTATCTCTTTGGGGGGGGAAGGGAAAATTGCCTTTCTTAAATTCTAGAGAATTAGGTTGAATTGAGTAAGTTGTATTCTTTCCTTTTTTCTTCTGTACAACTTTGGATGATATTTACTATATTTTTAAAAATTCTAGCCGGGCTCGGTGGCTCAGCCCGTAATCCCGCGCCTTTGGGAGGCTGAGGTGAGTGGATTGCCTGAGCCCACAGGTTCGAGACCCGCCTGGGCAGCGAGACCTCATCTCTACAGTAAATCAAAAAAATCAGCCAGGCGTGGTAGCGCATGCCTGTAATTCCGGCTACGCGGAAGGCTGAGGCGGAAGGATCACCGGATTCCAGCAGGTCGAGGCTGCGGTGGCCAGGAGCGGCCACTGCACTCCAGTCTGGGCGACATAGTGAGACTCCAACTCAAAAAAAATTCTTCTAGTGCTAACCTTTAATATTTAAAAATGCATACTTAAGGCCAGGCGCAGTGGCTCACGCCTATAATCCCAGCACATGGGAGGCCAAATTGAGAGGATTGCCAGAGAACACAGGTTTGAGACCAGACTGGGCAACTTGGCAAGACCTTATCTCTACAATAAATCAAAGAATTAGCTGAGTGTGGTGGCTCGTACCTGTAGTTCCAGCTACTTGGAAGGCAGAGGTGGAAGAATCACCTGAGTCCAGCAGGTCGAGGCAGTGGTGGCCGTGAGCGTGCCACTGCACTCTAGCCTGGGCAACAGAGTGAGACTCCAACTCAAAAAATAAAAAATAAGTGAAAATAAGGATACATACTTAATAAAATCTCAAGTTAATCAGTATTTTAGCCCTCTTCCTACTTGACACAAGGGCCTTAGGACATTTTACCTGTATTTACTCCTCTGTGACTGATAAGCTACTTTGTTCAGTGTGTTCAGCTCTAACTATTCAGCTCTAACTAGTTTAACACCACAAATTTTGCATTTTTATTGTTCTGTACATCAATATTTGTTTAGATACAAGGGTGAATTTATACATTTTTGCTCACTATTCTTGTACATCAAACTCCTATTGACATTTATTTTCCTTCTGCCTCAAGTGAGATTTCCATTGGCGAGGGTCTGTTGGTAGTTAATTGTCTGAAAATGTTTCTATTTGACTTTTATTCTTTTTTATTTTCTTTTTTACTTTTTCTTCCCTTCTAACTAGAATTGAACCCACCCTTTTATTCTTGATAGGTAGCTTCACCAGGTAACAAATAGAGGTAAAAGATTCTAGGATGACATTTTTTCCTCAACATTGTTGGTTTTTGATAAGTTGCAGCTTCTAGCTTATTTTCTGCAGTTTCTTGAGTTTAAGTGTGTATTTCTTTTCTGTTGGAACTTCTTGGATTTCCTGAGTCTGATTTCATGTTGAAACAGCAATTCTGGAAAATGATCATATTGTCTCTTTCCTACTTCTCTTTCTGAACTCGGATTAGTTATATGTCAGACCTCCTTATTCTGTCCTCCAAGCATATTCTCTCTCTTACATTTTACATGTCTACCTTTCTCTTTCTATACTGTGTTCTGGATGACTTTTTCAGATCTCCCTTCTAGTTGTTGATTTCCCTTTCACTTATGTCTAATCTGATGTTCGGACTATTCACCAAGTAATAAATTTCACTTACTACATTTCTTATTTCTAGACATTCTAGTCAGTTTTTTTTTTTTTTTTTTTGGTATCTTCTTGGTCGTTTTTTATTTTTATTTTTGAGTCAAGGATTGACTCTCTTGCCCAGCAGGAGTACAGTGGCACAATCATAGCTCACCTCAGTCTCCAACTTTTGGGCTCAAGCTATTCTCCTGCATCAGTGTCCCGAGTAGCTGGGACTATAGGCATGTGCCACCACACTGGCTAATTTTTTATATTTTGTAGAGACAACGCCTCACTATGTTGCCCAGGCTGATCTCAAACTCCTGGGCTCAAGTGATCTTTCCACCTCGGCCTCTCAAAGTGTTGGAGTTACAGGCATGACCTATCACTGAGCCTTCTTGGTCATTTTTAAGTCTTTTTTCCCTAATTTATATTTTCAGCCCCCTCCTTTACTCATAAACATGTGAAACCCACTTGTATACCGTCTAGTGATTTCAATAACTAAAATCTTTTGAGGCCGAGTTTGGTGGCTCAGCCTGTAATCCCAGCAATTTGGGAGGCCAAAATGAGTGGATTGCCTAAGCCCACAGGTTCGAGACCAGCCTGGACAACTTGACAAGACCTCATCTCTACAATAAATCAAAAAATAAGCCAGGCGTGGTAGCACGTGCCTATAGTTCCAGCTACTTGGAAGCTTGAGGTGGAAGGATCACTGGAGCCCAGCAGGTCCATGAACATGCCACTGCACTCCAGCCTGGGCTATGGAGTGAGACTCCGACTCAAAAAAAAAAAATCTTTTGGGGCCTTATTCTGTAATTTGCTGTTTCCATTGGCTCTTACTCACGGCCTTGTTTCCATATGGGTTCTATCATTCTTGACTATGAGCTCATGTTTTTTGAAAGTTTTCCCTTAGAGGATTTGCTTTTGCTACTGTAAGGAAGCCAGAGGACTAACATTCCAGGACTACCTTAAAATAAATTTTATGTTTGAAGTTCACAGTCAGCTATGAACCCACATAAAGCCCAGTTCATGGCAATGAATTATTTGGATATATTTATTTTTCCTACTCGTATGAATGATGCACAATTATTTGATGCTTCCTTCTGTAGAGTTTTTTGTTTTGTCTCTTGCTCCCCCCTTTCTCTTTTTCCCCTCTTTTCTTCCTTTCTCCCTTTTCTCTTATCTTTCTGTCTCAAGTTTTCCCTTTTACTTAGGTCTTTATAGCCCGGGGATACGTACTTTTTTTTGTTGTTTGTTTTTAGTTGTGATGTTGCTATGTTGCCCAGGCTAATCTCAAACTCCCGGGCTCCTTGGCTAAAGGGATCCTTCAACCTCAGCCTCCTAAGTAAGCTGAGGACTACAGGCATGAGTCACCATACCCAGCCTTTTTTGCAAAGAGTTACATCTGCAGGGGGACAAAAAAGCAGAATCTGTTTATTAAAACTTGTGTACTTATTCTTACATATTTAAGCCTCAGTCACCTTCAAAGTACTCTCTGTTTGATGCAATACATCTGTCGAGATGCTTTTTTCCGCTGCTTAGAACAGTACTTGAATTCGTCAATTTTGATGCCTTTTAGTCCTTTTTATTTCACCTCTTCCACAGCAGCAAGATGTTTCCCTTTAAGGATTTTTTTCATGGGGAAACAGAAAAAACAATGCTCTCAGGTGAGATCAGGTGAATAGGGAGGTTGGGGCATGGTGTCACGCCATTTTTGGTCAAAAACTGCTGAATGTTCAGTGTGGTGTGGGCAGGTGAATTGTCGTAATAGAAGAACCAGTCATCCTGTTTGCCACAACTCAGGGCATTTCTTCCACAAATCATGACTCAGCCTTCTCAAACTTTCAGATAAAAACTTTGGTTGTGCTGGGCATGGTGCCTCACGCCTATGATCCCAGCACTTTGGGAGGCTGAGGTGAAAGGATTACCTGAGCCCATTGGTTCGAGAGCAGCCTGGGCAACTTGGTAAGACCTCATCTCTACAATAAATCAAAAAAGGTTGCTGGGCATGGTGGTGTGTGCCTGTAGTTCCAGCTACTTGGAAGGATGAGGCAGAAGGATCACCTGAGCCCAGCAGGTCAAGGCTGAGTGGCCATGAGCATGCCACTGCACTCCAACCTAGGCAAAAGAGTGAGACTTCAACTCAAAAAAAAACAACAAAAAAACTTTGTTGGGCCATTTGATCCAAAAGAACAAATTCCGACCTACCCCTCAAAGATAATTCTAGTTTTTTGGGTGCCCCCCCAATACTAGACTCTATAGACTGTACAGTCTCTGTTAGTTACTTAACTCTACTTTTGTAGTATAAAGGCAGCCATAGACAGTATGTAAACAAATGAACATGACTGTGTTCAAATAAAACTTTTTTTCCCTCTTTTAATTTTTATTTTAAAATTGTGGAATACAATTCAGGGTGAGGTGTACAGATATTCAATGTGCAGTTATCCTTGTTGATGAGGTGTGCCCCCCTACCCCAGGCAGATATCGACTACTGTCAATCCCAGCTATCCGCCCCCAACCTCCCTACCCACAGTTTCCCGCTACTTTCAATCCCTTTCCAACAGTAATATGGTAGTTGTTCAAGGTCCACTTATGAGTGAGAACATGTGATACTCAGCTCTTTGTTTCTGTAAGAGATCACTCAGTATTATAAACTCTAATTCCATCCAGGTTGCTGCGAAGTTCATGATTTTGTTCTTCTTTATGACTGTGTGATAGTCCATTGTGTATAGGTACCACATTTTTTTTATCCAGTCCTCTTTTGTTAGTTCCATGTTCTTGCTATTGTGAACAATGTTGCGATAAACATATGTGTGCAGGTATCTTTTTTATAGAGTGATTTGAGTTCTTCCGGGTACATTCTCAGTAGGGGGATTGGC